ATAAGATATAAAATAGAAGTATTCTACTTGGTTTGCCTCTCGCCATTGATTTACACGGTTGATAAACTCAAACTTATTTTTCAACGCTATATGAATATCTGACGCCTATGGCTGATAAGGTATCACTAGAATATACATCTATATCTAATACTTACTGCAGGTTAATTAGTTGACAAGACTTTAATTACAGTTTTTTCTTGATTTTCTTATCATTCGAAGTTAAAGTCTTTCTTTATCGAACTGTGCTTGGTACATACATTTTTAAGATAATTCCAGGAAAGATGCATAATCTAAATTGTAATGACGTATTTCCGGGTATCTCCATGAACGGAACAGGGAGACCGCATCAAATATTATTAACGTGTTACAACTTCTTAAAATGTTTGACAATAAACTGGATTCATTCTTTTCACAATCTTTTTGACATTATGGAAGGTCTTATGGGGGAAGGCAGGGACGAATTGTCCGGCTTTACTATTTTTTTTTTTTTTTAGATCTGCAGTAAAGTTGTTTTTAATGTCATATTTTGGAAAATATTAGTCCTTATCCAATTTTTCTATTGCGTGTGTAACTTTTTGTTACTTTTGTTTGAAATTTCGTCATTTGATACAATGGTCTAGTACAATTACTCTTGCCTACCGTGAAAAATAAATGCTTTCTTTAATTGTTTGGATAACTATTAACACCGGGAAAGCAATTTCCAAATGGATGACTATACAAGTTAGCCCATAAGACCAATATCAGGATCAGCCGGGGCTTCAAAAACATTCATCATAGTTTTCACAATGTTCTGAAATCTCTGGTCATCATCTTGAAAACCCAATGTATCTTTTTCACAAGGTTGGCCTTTGAACTTGATGCGGGTTAATGATTTCAATCGACAACCGGCTTCTGATGACAATGACAAAATATTCACGTTTGTGCTTCTTAGAGGGTTTTCTGTAAAATCAATTGCACTTTTCAAATTTTTCATCTTTGTTAGAAGGCCATTCTCTTGCTTTTCGAGGTTTTTAACTTTAGCATTTGTCTTTGCCTCAACCTCTTTCTTAAGACTTTTTCGTTGCTGTTCCAAAATTTGAATTTTCTGATTTATTGCCTTATCGACATCCTTTTTTATTTGTACAGCTTTGGCGTTTATATTTGATTTGGTCGCTTTTATTTCCTCCAATGATTTCTGGATACGATATTTCATTGCTGAAGCGCTCTGTATATCTGATTTGAGATTTTTGACATGTCTTTCAGCCACTTCATCTATGAACTGAAACTTGTGATCACGATGGTCGATGATGGTGCAGTCACGACAAATCAACTGCTGACAGGATTCACAGTAAAGTTTTTTGACTTCGCCTTTGTGTTTCTCACATTTAACTTGTTGTGTCATGGCTGGAGCACCTTGTTTCTTGACTTCTTCAAGTGTCATGATCTTGTGGTCTCTGGTTTCCAGGAAACGCTGGTGGGTTTTCAAGCAAAAGTCGCACATGAACTTGCAACATTCAAAGCATCTTCCTTTAGAGGCATCTTTGCTTGTACAATTTTCACA